GGTCCTGCAGGACAAATATCGGGAGCGGCTGCTGCGGGAGCAGGAGAGGCTGCGGGCCAAGCCAGAGGAGCAGGAGGATCCCCAGGAGGTGTTCAAGCAGGCCCAAGCAGATTTCTTCTCCAACATCAAGGCAGAGCAGCGGAGGAGGGGCATGGAAGTCCCCGAAGAGGTAAAGGGGGCAGGACAGTGGCCACCATGGCAGGGACCCCACCGAGGGCAGGGGACAGGGTGAATATCAGGTGTCTTTCAGAGTGAAGAGGGCGAGGCAGCTGCACAGCAGGAAGAGCAGGAGAAAGAGTAGGAGGATGCCAAGGTCAGTGTGCTCCAGCTGTGCCTTCCTTTCCCCTCCATGCCAGAGCTGCTGCAGGGATGAGGCCACTATCGCCAAGCCAGGCAGCTCTCTTGGACTCTCCTCCCTCCTGGGGTGGCAAGTGGGGGACTCTGCACAGCCCCCTGACCCCACAGCTGCTCCCTGGCCTTTGCATCCTGATTTTCTTTGGTGTGAATAAACCGGGGCTTTCCACGTCACATTTCCTCTTTTGTCACAGCAGGGTCGAGTAGAGGCTGGGAAAGTCACGTCCTCCTGCTCCTCCTGTCCTTTCCTTGACCCAGGACACTCAAAGCCAGGGGCTGAGCACAGCCAGGCACCCACAGTGTGTCCCCCAGTGTCCCCAGCCCGTGGAGCAGGGCACAGCAGGGTGGCTGGTGGCAGCTGGAGAGCCCTGTGTCCCCACAGGAGCAGCCCCCGGGCTGGGTTATCAGTGCTGGGTAAACACAGCCCTGCCGGTGGAACCGGCAGCCACCCCAACTCTTAACCCCCCATAATTAATCATTAACGAGCTGCCGTCACAGCGATGGGGACATCACACAGGTGGCTCTCTGTGGGCTGAGGAGGAGCCCCCCAGCAGGACCCTTCCCCAGGCTCTGCTCAGGGGCTGAACCCACCCGTGGGTGAGCGATGCCAGGATGGGGTTTGAGGGTTCCCTCACACCCCAACCCAGCCCTGGGGGTGCTGCTGCGTCCCTTCCCCAGGCACTGGGGACACGTCTGTGATCCTCCTGAGTGCCTGTGCAGCGCCCTGTGCCAGCCCTGCCAGGGCCAGCTCTCCCCATGCCAAACCCATCCCAAGCAGGGACCCACATCCCCACAGGGAAATGCATCCATGCCTGGATGGGTGTTTTCCTTCCCAGGAGTTCCACCAGAAGGAGCTGAGCTGTCACCCCAAAGATGCCCCACACGTCCCACACTCGTTTTCTGCTTTATTAGGAAAGGGGTGGGGGTACCTGGACAGGGATGGGGCAGCTGCCCCCCACCCCTCCTCCACTGGGGGAGGCTGCTGGGCCCCTCACCCCCAGATTGGGCAGCTCCTGAGCTGGACCCAGCTGCCCACACAGAGGGACCCGGGGGCTGCCTCACAGGAAGGATGGGCTGTCCCTGTCCCTGTCCCCGCACCCAGTGAGGGCTCTGATGTGCCCATGGGCTGCACGTTTCACCTCCTGCACCCCCTACGTGGGTCTGGGGCGCTCCCAGCATCCTCCATCCCCAGGGACAGCGATGGGGACAGGATGTGGCAGGGGAACACTCAGGGAGGGGTGGGCAGTGCAGAGCACAGCCCTGGAGCCCCCCAGCGAGAGGACCCCCATCTACCTACGGGACCAAGCGTTCCCCCCATGGTGCTGGGGCCAGCATGGCAGGACCCAGCTGTGCCTCGCTACTTCTTCACCTTGATGAGGGAGTGGTAGACAGGCTTGATGATGATGTGGAGGTGCAGGGAGTTGTCGATGAGGTACTCGGAGGTGCGTTTCTGCAGGTCGGCGTGCGCCAGGAAATCGGCCGCCTCGTCTGAGCTCTGGTGGAAGCTGTAGGCGTGTTTGACCAGCACGCGGCCCTGCTGCCGCACACCCACCAGCACCGTCTTCTGGAAGCTGACACCGGCGAAGTCGGGGCTGCTCATGGCCGGGGTGATGATGAGGCGCGGGTGCCCGTCCTCGATGCGCACGGGCTGGATGGCGCCCGCCACCGAGTCCGAGTACACGGGGCGCAGGCTGACGGGCAGCCAGCGCGGCGAGAACAGCACGTTCCAGGTCACCCTCTTGCCGGCGTCGTGGCTGCTGGGCCCCAGCTGGGTCTGGAAGCTGGTGCTGCGGTCGTCCCGGGCCGGGTTGGTGATGACCCACTGGGAGCCCCAGCTGGGCGCGAGGTAGTTGCGGGGCAGGAACATGCTGCAGTTGACGTCAAAGTACTTGGCGAAGTGGAGCGGGGAGGCAGCGTGGAACTGGAAAGCCTGGAAGAGCAGGTCCTGCACCGCGCCGCGGTGCCGCGCCAGCACCGCCGACTGCGCCTGCAGCCGGAACAGCTGGCTGGGCGCGATCATGGGGTAGCGGATGGAGCGCAGCACCCGCTCGGCCACGGGCGCCTCGGGCTGCCAGCGGCTCAGCCAGCTCTCCACGGCTGTGTAGAGCTCCAGCTCGCTGTGCAGCACCAGGTCGGAGCGCTCCAGCAGCAGCAGCAGCAGCTCCACGCTCACCGAGCCCCACTCGGCGCTGCCCAGCACCGCCGACAGGTTCCAGGCCAGGAACTGGAGGCAGCTCTCCTGCAGCGCCGCGTCGCCGACGCGCACGGCGTAGTGGTACCAGCCCACCACGTGGCCCTGGCTCGACTCGCTGGCCAGGTGGGTCCTCATGTATTCGGCCACGCCGCGCTGCAGCCCCCAGACCCGGTACTTGCTGGCCAGCTGGTGCATGGGGATGGCCTGGTGCAGCAGGATGGAGACCCCCCCGCAGTACAGGTACCTGGGCAGAACACAGGGTGGTGACTTTGGGACACCCCTCCCTGGCAGCTCAGTTCCCAGGGGAGCAGCCTCTGCCCCGGGCTGCTTTCATCTGAGTATTCCCACCCCACAGGGTTCCCAGGGAAGCATCCCACCTCCTTGGATGCTTCCCTCTGGGTGTTCCCATCCCATGTGGTCTCCGTGGTCCCTAGGAGAGCATCCTCCTTCCCTGGCTGCATCCCATGAGGTCCCTAGTGGAGCATCCACCTTCTTTGGCTGCATCCCTCCAGGTACACCCATCCCTCAGGATCTCCATGGTCCCCAGGGGAGAATCCTCCCTCCTGGGCTGCATCCCTCCCAAAATGTACATCCCTCCCAAAATGTACATCCCACGAGGTCCCTGTGGCTCCCAAGGAACATTTCCCTTCCCTGGCTGCATCCCTCTGGGCATCCCCATCCCGTGGAGTTCCCCGTGGCTCCCAGGAGAGCTGCATCCTCCTGACCTCCCCATCCCGCGGGGTCCCCACGCACCTGATGAACTTCTCGAAGAGCGCGGCGGTCTCGGGCGGCTCGTACAGGGTCACGACGCTCTGGTTGCGCAGGAGGCTCTCGAAAACCTCGCTCTGGAGGCTCAGCAGCAGCTGGTGCGTGTGGAACACCTTGGGCTCGTCGGAGGCGGCCGAGCGGACCCGCAGCACCGAGTCGCTGCCGTTGCCGTTCTGCAGCAGCTCCTGCAGCCGCTGCAGCAGCGTCAGCGAGTGGTTGATGGTGGCCGCCGTGGAGTCCCCGCTAAAGTCGGCTTTTTGGGCTGCAGGGAGATGGGACCGTCCCAGAGCTGCACCCCAGTCCCATGCACTGAGGTAGGGTGGGGTTACCGAGGGGCTGTTCACCTCCCGCCTCCACTCCCCCACTGCCAAAGGGCTGCTGGTGCCAAGGGGGTGTGGGGGAACAAAGGACGTGGGGACATTTGTGTCCCTGAGAGCCAAAAAACTGCCTTTCTGCAGCAGAAGGGCTGAGACCACCATGTCCCAGGCTGGGGTGTGCTGGGAAATGGCCGGGTGCCGGCAGCGCTGGCTCTCAGCCCGGTCTGCCTGTCCCGATCCCGTCCCCGCTGTGGGCAGAGCGAGCCCCGGGCATTGCCCTGATCCCTCGCATCCCGGATGGATACACGGGGGGACAGAGAGCCCGAGGGTGTGGGGAGCCAGGCACGCTCTGCCCCGCACCCAGGAATGGGCTCCCGAGCAGAGACACTCATGTCACTGCGGGTCTGTGCTGGGATCCCAAACAGGGACTGGAGAGGGATCTGGGAATGTGGAACAGGGGTCTCCATGCTCCTGTGGGCACTGGGACCCTTCCTTCCTCTCCTCTTCTCCCTGACACCACTCCCAAGCTCCTCAGAGCATCCTTCCCCCAGAAGGAATTTGGCCCCGTCTGTCTCAAACCTATCTTGCCTCTCAAATCCCGTCTTGCTGACGGATTACCCTTCCCAGCGCCGGCTTAAGTCCGGCTGAGCGGGGATGGGGAAGGGGAGCAGGCTCCCTGTACCCCGCGGTGCTGGACTTGTCTGCCCTCGGCACCGAGCCCTTCCCCGGGGCACCAGCGAGCACAACCCGGCTCCGAGAGTGCAGCACATCCAGGAGCCACTTCCATCCCTTCCCGGCACCCCGACGGCAGCCGGCGACACGCGCTCAGCTCTCCATCAGCCGCCGAGCCGCACCCCGGCACCCGGCGAGGGCAGCGCTACCCACGGCTCGGGGACCCTCCGCGCCTCCCCCCGCCGCGGCCACCCTTACCGGCTTGCACGGTGAAGAGGAGGAGGAGGAAGGCGGCGGCACAGCCCCAGCGGCGGGTGGCCACGGGCCGGGTGCCCGTCAGCCTGGCCATGGCGTCGCAGGCGCATCTGCCGGGTGCGGCACACGCTGCTCGCCCGGGGCTTATGTAGGCCACGCGCCCTCCCGGCCCGCGGGCCCGCGCCGCCGCATCGATTGGTGGAAACTGGGACCGGCCGTTGCCACGGGAACCGCTTCCAGCCTCCCTGCATCCCACCCTGACCCCCAGCCCCAGCCCCGCACCCCGGGCTGCCGCGGCGCGGGGCCGTCGCCGTGTGGCACCTGCTGCTGGCACCGCCGCGCCGGAGCCCCCCACGCGTGGCCGCGGCCCTTTGTGCCGGGGTCTTTGCATTCAGGGCACAGCTCGGTGGCCTCCCGCTCCCCCCGGCTCATGGGTATTCATGCCGGCAGCAGCCCATCACCATGGCATCCGCGCTGCCGGCAGGAACTGCCTGCCCTTTTCCCAGCCTTTGCAGCCAAGAGGCCGCCAGTGCGCCCTGCGCCGCCTCCCTGGCCCCCGACACCTCTCGGGGGGCTTCAACCCGAACTCCCCCAAAGCCCCGGTGCCACAGGCGCAGGCTGGGGTGGCGCTGGGTGAGCAGGGAAGGGGCAGCGGGGTGTCAGCCAAGTGGTGCCAACCCCGCTTTGGCTCCGGCCCCGGTGGCACCGTGGTGTGGGGACCCAGGACCCCGGGCGGGGGAACGCACCCCACAGAGGAGGCAGCACGGCTCGCAGGGACACAGCAGCCCCTTCCCCACTGCCGAGGAGCCCCGTCCCCCTGCACAGCAGTTCGAACACGGGCTCAGACACGGGTTCCAGATGTTGAGCGTGGGCAGATGTCGCTGCAGCTGCCGAGGGTGTGGGATCACCATCTGTCCCTGACCCATGGGCGCGGAGACTGAGGACAAGACCCCGGTCACCCCCATGCCACGCTGCTGGGGCTCCCTTGCGGGGACGGACAGGTGGGCCATGCTCAAACCCTGTGTCCCGAGTGGGCAGGGGACCCCCAAAATCGCGGTGCCGGCAGAGCGCCCCGCCCGGGCTGGTGTCCTTGCACGGTGGGGGCCCGGGAAACGGGGCCCCCGCCGCAGCACAGCCGGTTCACGGCTCAGCGCGTCCTCCGACGCCTCATTTCACCACCCGCCTGATAAACAACAGCTTGTGGAAGCGTGTGCCCGGCGCGCCGCCGGCTCCGTGCCAGCCCGGGCGGCAGCCACGGCCCGGGGACCCCCGTGTCCCCCGCGGGGGCATCGGCTGCTCACGGCGGTAAGGCGACCGTGGGGGGACACGGGGGAGCAGGGGGCTGGTTCCGGAGGTCACCAGGGGTGACAGCCCCCAGCTGGCAGTGAGGTGAGGGAGCAGCTGTGCTGGCCCGGAGATTGCGGGGCTGGCTCACCATAGCGACCTGTGCCAGGCAGCAGTGCCAGGGCATCGTCCCCGCGGGCTGGGGGGGCACTGGGGAGATGGAGCTGGACCCAGGGACCGGCAGGGGACACCAGCCCCTTCCCTGTGCAGCTGGGGAAACTGAGGCACGGGCACGGTGTCCTGGCAGCGGGCAGGAGCAGCCAGGGCAGAGCCCAAACGGAATCACACTCGTGTGCACAGCCACACGTCACACCCTGCCCACACCCGCTCCGCTGGGTCCCCAGAGGTGGCCGCGGTCCCAGCCTCTCACTTGCCCCCGGACCACCATCCCTACTGCTCTGGGGCGGGGACACGCTCTGTCACGGTCACTCGGAGCTCCCCAGGTGATCCCTTCCAGCGGGAGCCGAGGGTCGGTGACGTCCCCGTGCCCGGCCAGCCCAGCCCGCGGCTCTGCCCGTGGCTCTGCCCACGGCGCTCTCCCCCCGCCCCGTGCCCCGCGCCCCGGAGGCTGCGCCATGCTGCGGGTGCCGGCGGGGACCGGGACACGGGCAGGGACACGGGCACCGGCGGGGACAGGGACACCAGTGGGGACACGGATTCTCACACGGTATGTCCGTGGGAAACACCAAGCCAGGGAAGGTGGCACTGCACTCCCGGCGGGTGGCACTGGGGCCACCCAGGTGAGAGTCCCTGTCCCGCGGGCTTTGGGGAGCGGGAGCCCGGGCGGGGGGAGCAAAGGGAGGCCCAGAGAGAACCCGACCCGCCCAGCAGTGCAAAGGGGATCGGGCTGGGAAAGGGTTAAGGCGATCGCGCAGCGGCTGCAGCCGATCGATGCCCCAGCTCCGCGGGGGACGTGGATGGACGGGACCTCCTGCTGATGAACCGGAGCTAATTTGCAGTTAATTAGCACCCCTCTACTCCCCATCCCCCTCTTCTTTTCCGTCGAGCTGTGCTCAGGGGAAATCAGGATCAAGATCTTGTGCTCAGGATCTTGCTGGGGTCCCGGCCGGGAGTTCCAGGGTCTGGGAGGTGGGACCCCCGGGATCCCACACACACCTCGAGCAATTCTGGGAGAGCAGATCCATCACTGGGGGTCCCGGAAAGGGAGAGGGACCTGACCTCCCCTCCAGCAGCGGCCCCGAAGCCATCGAGTGTCTGCGGTGTCTGGGACAAGGGGAATTTGGGGTGCCCCCGGGGCCAGGGTCAGACTGGGAGCAGCGTGGCGCCCCGTGCCCCCTCCCTCAGCTCAGGACCCGCCTTTGCATCTCTTACCCCCCGATCCCAAGACACCCCCACCCCAAATAGCACCCCGCACCTGCCGGGCCCAGGTGCAGGGCACCCCACAACCCCGGTCCCAGGACTTCCCGCACCCCACAACCCCCGGACCCCCCTGGACCCCACAACCCCCGGACCACCCCGGACCCCACAGCCCCGGTCCCAGGACCTCCCGCCCCCCACCACCCCCGGACCACCCCG